CACTGACTTGTACATCGGCTGGCCCCGCAAGTCATTGTATAGGCCACATCGCATTCAAACGCCACTACGAATGTACAAATGGAAGTAGAATGCGTGCCGCATCCCAAAAAGGGATTGATCAACGGCAAATGCTTTATCCTTTTATCTTTTTGAAGGACTTACCTATTCAGGGCGTACTTATTGTAGATCCTCAGCAGAAGTGTTCCTACCAGCGATAAGGCGCATATGACACATAAGGAGATGTTGATTTTAGTGAGACGTTCAATCGTTTTAGTTGAACCCGATGAGCAGTACGCATAGGAGTTTGAAAAGTTTTCCGGCTGGATCGACCACAGCGTTACCATCGCTGAGCTGAGCACCTGAAACTGGCGCATACGACAATCGGACCCAATTATTTTGATTTTTATGCTGTTCCCACAGTTGGCAACACGAACCTTAGCTGTTTGGGTGCTGAATAACGGACTAATCATTTCGTCTAAGCAACGACCCAAAACCGGACTTCGTGATTTCACCACCCGGCACAGGACTACGTGGTCCATTTTCATGTGTTCGCTGAGGCGTTTTGACTATTACTCAGCACCCTAGCAATACTAGTTTGTTCAATCATAAATATTATATATGTCTCTGTCTCTGAGGCTCGATTTTCTTAAAATTGTCTCATATAATTTCATACAAATAATAAAACAAAAATAACCAAACAGACGAATAATTAAAATGAAATGGATTTAGAAGCAAAAGGTAAGTTGGCGAAATGTAGTGACTATTTCGATTGAGGAACAACCTTTCCATCAGAATGATAAGAAAGCAACTTCTTTTCTATATCGGACAAACTATGTAAGTTCATACCATTCAAAATGATTTGCTTCAAAATAAAACAACAACTGGCGCTATCACAATATAAGGGGCATTGTAGTGGCAATGCATTCAGAATTGCGAAGAACATCGCCCTTTTGTTACTACTGGGACTAAGCCCTAGGAGGAGAGACTCCTGAGTGCGTAAGCATTTTTCATTTCCTCAAAAATCCTTGCCCTTCCCTAGACCTGCTCTTGGAGGATGCCCCGTGTCTTGCGATAGCGCTTGACAATATCTATGAGAAAGCGCCCGATGATCTTCATGACACTATATCTAGTAAATTACAGGGTACACAAACTACAGCATTATATTATGTGTTACATATTACTTGTCGCTCGCCTAATGGAAACTTTTTAAGCGAGAATTCTCATCGCCTTGCCTTCGTATTTCCAGAGCAGTGCCATAGCCTTATATAAGGGCTTTAATGCTATCTTCTAAAATGAGCTCCGGCATTGGGTCTGTCTGTCTGGAACGGCTCGTCTTCTACGGTTGTAAGCGATTTATAAACCACGATCTCCGAATGGTAAGTTAGTCTTTCTACCTATGGATGCTCGGTCCCGCCATAGAAATACAGCTTCGAAGCAACCCACTATGATAGAGAGCTCAGTTTCCAGTTGTGCGCTTGCGGAAATAGGTACCCAAGGGTAATCAAGGGTGACAAAAAATGGCGAACAAAGGGAACAACATCCGTTCTCACCACGCTTCAAAAATCACTTTCACACAGAAAGAACATGTGCTTACACAATGAATAATAAATATACAATCCTTGATGTTTCCCGACCCACGCAGGTTATTTTGAGATAACTTAGTGTCGAAGGTTGACTGATAGAAGATCAGCGACGGCGCTGCACTTGCCAAGGCATCGAAGACGTAGTGAGCCATGTGAACCAGGAACGTCAGGTGATCATACGAGGGCCGTTGGACCGAAGCGTTCACCTCCTAGGACCGAATGCAGCAAGCTCCGGCCAGAGAATGGGTTCCCAAAACTCTGCATCTAAGGACACCATTCTTGATCGCGAGGACTGCATCATCGACTGGAGTAGAGACGTAGGTTTTGTGGACCCAGCCCCTGGCCAGGGCTTGCCCCGGCCCCTGGATTCTCAGGGGGGAGGGGGCAAATAGTTACCTGGAAGACAGATGTTCCAACAATCACGCAGCCAGCGTCATGGCAAATGTGAGCAAGTGGTGGACATTTTGACTATTGTCAGGGCAGGTTCCACTGGATCGGGAACCCGAAGGAGGCCCGTCAAGCGGCGAGAAGGCAGCGACGCAGACTTGTCAGCGGACGAGTCGCAGCGCGTACTGTGCGATGTGGGACGTACTATAGTACATTCTTTTTAACTTGACGCTGAATCGCTACAGTACGCGCTGCGACTCGTCCGCTGACCGTCTGCGTCTCTGCCTTCTCGCAGCATGACGGGTCTCCTTTCGGGCACCCCACTGACCACTCTAGCATTTACTATTAGCAGACGAGCAGATGGTGAAAAATGCGCCCATCTTGAGAGTTAATTGTGAAAAACTGCTACAATAGAATAAGCCAGAAATTTCTCACGCCTTGGTGACCACCGTTTGGCAAATCTAGATTCCATCTCTTGGGACACCAAAAAAGTCGAAAGCCGCATAGGCCTCGAAGGAGGACAATTTTCAAGCATTCAAATTGAGCAGAGAATCGGACTTCTTCACGTAAGCGTCAACAGCGCTTCTTTTATAGTAGATAGCCTATCGAAAAAAATCTAAAGACTCACACCAGCAAGCACAAATGCGACACCGAGTAGCCAACTGCTCTTCTCATAATCAGCTTTTCTAAACATCGCAACCAGTCGCTCCAGAATCATCATGAACTGGAATTGTATTTGAATTATAGGTACCTAATCATGTTTTTCAAAAAATGATCTTTGTGACACCGCCATGGGGTGCGTGCAGCTGACTGAGCTGAGCCCAACTGTACAGCTATTTAGAACAAAAAATGAAAAAAGTGATTCAAAATAGAAAATCTGGAAGAAAAAGGGTGATGGAAAAGTGTTCTATGCCAGTGCACAGAAAAATTGAGGCGGGATTAATAAAATTGGGTCGACGAAATTCTTAAAAACTTATAAAGGAATCTTCCGCGGAAAAAGCTCCGCCTCCATTACCACAGGAAACGATACCCCTTAGGCCCCTAGCCTCATGAGCATAGCAAAAAGAACGGAACATAAGCGTTAGTTTCGATAATACTAATCCTACACACAAGACAAAATGATCACTCTTTCCGTGGAAGATTCCTTTAAGGTATCGTTTTCTGTGGTAATGAGGCGGAGCTTTTTCCGTGGAGATTCCTTTAAGGAGGCAAACGTGTGGCATCCTAGATTTGCAAATATTAATTATTGCGAAACTTCTGCGACTCTGCTTCTGAATCAGGCCACCGTAGTGTCCTATTTACTTACCGTATCCCAGGTACTGAATAAAATGTGGTCCTAAACCAGTAAATTTGAAAGGCCACGCAGAATGAGTAGCTGGCGTGGTTATTGTGTCCAGAACTATATTATGTAAGTTTGTTGTGGCTGATTGGCCTACAAAAAAGAACTGCCAAGAAGCTCAACATTACACCAAGCGCTCATCACGTGGGCGGAGTTTGCTCCCCATCTTTATGGAAGTCTTTGATTGTTCTGTATTTGTTCTTAACCGCACTACCGTATTCTACCGAGATCATCGTAGCCCCCCAGACTGACAGTATGATTCTGGCGAGGTATGCGCACCGCCCCCCCCTACCCCCTTATGACAAGGTGTTATTACGTACCGTACGTTACGTACGTATGTAGACCGGTACGTTTAAGGTGCGTTTCTGGCGACCTCTTCCCGCAGCATTTTGTTGTGCTTCATATACTAACGAGCGACCTCTATGACAACTATTCATTTTCGGGTGTCAATAATACCACACCATGCGAAACGTGCTTATTAGACGGATAACAGAGGCCGCAAGAACGGCTGTTACAGTAATCCGCCGCCGCAACAAATCGATGCCACGTGGCATTTGACGTGCCTCTTTGTGTTTTTCCTGGCGCAACGCACACCACAAAAAAAAACTACCAGAGAAGTACGAGCAACGCCATGCGCAAACACGGTTTCGCGTCCGTGGAGAAGAGCTGTTCAATCCAACTAATCCGTTGAAAGGCGCACGGCCACGGTTACGGTAACAGTCGTCTTCGCCCGCTTTATTACCTGGCTCTTTGTTAACGTGCTTTCAAGGCAATATTTCCCCCTTTAGCTTATCCCGCTTTCGCGCGCAACACGCAAATTGACAGTTAAGTGGTTAATTTACCGTAGGTAATCTAGAGAACAAAAGAGAGGGCAGAACAATGCACTAAAGCTGTAATTTTAGATCATCTACCCCATAATTAGTGCGGTTGCGGTAATTAGCAGCGAGTTACGCGTATTTCTGTTTGTTGCGCTCGATCGTCGCTTTCTCTACAATGAACATGATCCGTGTGACAAAGATCACAAAACGCGCGAGGTTTTTGTCCACCTAGGTACAAAAAGTGCGAGTAAATCTCCAGATTAGCATGATTCATCTATCGATGCCAATTGGAAGCTTTCGATGGCTTAGTCAAATATACACTGAAATTTGAATGATAAAAATTCAGCTGACATAATGGGCTAGAGAAAGCGATCAAAGGAGAAAAGGCTAGAGAAGAAGGAAATAGTTACACGAGAGGTGTTGAACCAAGAAACCTTGAGCAAAACAGCGCCTCAACGCTTGCACCACCGGCACATCATTTAGGTTCGATTTCTAATTGAATAAATCATACCTGAAGGAGAACTAACGATATGTACGAAGTGGTGAGAGGAAATCGTAAGATTGTACAGGTGATAGCCGAAGTGACGATATCACAGGGAGTCACCGAGGACAGGTACTTCCACAGATGCATCATCTGAATTCAATCTTCATTTCACTCTCTCCTCGACACTCTCCCCACGATATTTTACGGTGCCTTAGAGATTAAACACTATATTCTGCCGTTCAATAAAAAATAAAATACACTTTATCCATTCACTTTTAATTAGTTCCCAGGATCGAATCTCGCCCCCATCATCCTTGTAGCTTTCCATCTCTCCCGGCGTCCCATTATATGGAACCACTCACCGACTCTTCTCTCGAAAGGCTGCAGCAGGTACACGGCCCGAGATGGTCCCTAACATCTCTGGACGCATCCCTCCATTTGGCCTGATAACTGCGTCATCACCAGCAGTAAGCACCCAAGATTTAGGAGATCATTAACGGTTGCTGTCCCGCACAAGGTCCTTTGCGATAGGCCAACGGTGAAACTCCAGTTCGGGGGGGGGGGCACTCCATTGCTATCTTATCCGTAGTACTAGAGAGCAGTTCTTTGGGCTATCGAACACTACGGATAAGATAATAAGTGAACGACTCATTTCGAGCGTACTTTTGATAAGGACCGGTGGATGTCCTACATTCCACACTACCTGCCCACATCCCATCCACTTTTCTGCACAGGTGATCCACCCTGGAGCTCCTGCACCCTTAGCCCTTTGCGGAGGTGTCCTTTCTGGTCCAGGACCGTTCCCTTGGGTCATGGCAGGCGGAAATGTGAAAACGTTTCAGGGTTTCTCACCCATTACACCAATATTTATCAGAAGTCTACTTTAAATGAGTCGATTACGTGTCGTGAGCCCTCTAATCCTTATCTTGAGTATTGGAGAAAAAATGGAGTGCCCCCCCCCCGAACTGGAGTTTCACCGGGAAACCTACACATTTGAGCTGTCAAGCCGTCGCTTGCAGTACACGAATGAAAGCACGGTTCCCGTCTTACTCATATTCTCGGGATGTTTGGGTGGACAAGCACTGCTCTACGCAACTGCGGGGGCAGGGGGAAAGTTCCACCGGCGGCGCGACGCGAGCGCCTACGCAGTGAATGTCAAAATGGACGGTTACAGCTGCGGCTGGACTCGAAAGAGGAGCAAGCAGCTCAGGCACGCGCCCGTTGCTCATTGCCCCTCCATAGTGTTGGGTAGGCAGCCCCATAGTGTTGGGTTTCTGATAGTACACCAACTTTTCAATCAATTGTGCCGGCAGCGAAATGATCGTGTTATGTACAGGTGCCATCAATACACCGAAATGGAAATTGTCGGCCTTCTGTGTAATCCCTTAGAAGTACGCAGTCAAGCTGAAGATGATTAAATCAAGTCTGTTCTTCGAGTTCGACTTCCTAATTACTTCTACCAATTACACAGTGAATAAGAGTACGACAGATGCTCGGAGTACTTAAGTATTGAAATATTGGTGGCAGAGCTGGCCCTTGCTCGCTCCCTCTCGCCGCCGCTGTGACGTCACCAACACGCGAACGCGTCCGCGCCGCCGGTGAGCTTTTCCATGGAGCCGTACCAAATAGTACCCATACGGTCCGAGCATCGAGCCCAGCAACCATCTCGCCCAGGCCGTCCGCCCTTCAGTGTCATTTAATTGTAACCGGACATGTATGAGAGCGTAGAAGTACTGAGTTGTGCATCGTCTGCCTCCACAAGTCATTGTATAGGTCATGCTGTTACGATTCTGAGCGCATCCCGAGCAGGGACTGGGTGCCATCTTCCCTAAAAGAACCACCCTCCTGTTTTTTGGGGGAACAGGAGGTAGATGCTCGGTAATTGAAGAGAGGGTAACTGTTCCCAAATCTCGCTCTTTGCATATCGGCTTGACTTCTGGTGCGGCCTTCTTGGTCTCATATCTATGCCATTATTGAAATTCCAACGCTGATGAATTTTCTATAATAGCCGTTGTTAAACGAGTGACCAAGCCATCAAAGACTGAATGCAATGCGAAAGCCTCCAGCATGCGAGACTTAAAATTGCAGGAAGAATGGCTACCACGAAATGAGACTTCTTGCCAACCGCTAATTATGCGTGTTACACTTCAATAGCTTGTGTGTTTTTCGATCACATATATTTGACGAGCAACATTAGTTACAGTACTTTGTTAACACGTTGACGACAACGCGCGTTTTGGGTTTTTGCGCCGCGTGGGACCACGGCGATTTTGCAGGCGCCGCCGCCTCACATCATCTCCGTGAATTTTGAGCTTTAAATACCCCAAACACGGGTGCAACGAAATGTTTAGGATGATATTCGATGTGTCAAACCATCAGAAGGGGCAGCTGTAAAAAATCGCGAATTGACGTTTTC